GCAGAAAACCATGTCTCTTCACTTCGAGTACACAATATATGGACTATCTTCGGCGGGGGCTGAGCGTTTTTTCTCGCAGCATCATTCAGCCTGCGATAGTCGAAGCAGAACCTGATGGAACATCTTTTTTTCTGTACAACAATAACTGGGACAGATTAACGATTATCGGCTGCAGTGATCACTTTTTTCTTGTTCATGTTATCAACCAATCGTTTCCCTTCCTGTGGATTATGATATGCCAGCCCTCGACATGGAAGCTTAATTAGTGGCGATTCTAACAGATCAGCATAACGCTTTATAACTGATGTTCTTCCTATGCTGTCATCTGACATAGTTACGACATGCTTCAATTCCCAAAGTAAATCCGGAAGGTCTGTTCTTGCATCGATGGCTTGCAGAAAGCGTTTTGGCGATGGTTGCTGGGAACAGTTATCACGGCTTTCAGCCACATTCACAGATGGAACTTGTAGAAGAATCGGACTGTACCTAAGGTGTCATTTTTACAAAGGTGGAATAGGGTTTTTCCCGCATTCAAAGAGTAGCACCAAGTTCCCATTTTGTACAACATTTAACAAACGCGCGGCACACAATGAATATTTTGAAACTAACACGGAGTTAGGTTCACAATTGCCCTCGCACGGCACGAAAACCCTCTTATACCAACTTCGTTAATGCGGCAATAACTATTCCGTTTGTCAGAGTTACTCTCTGAGGCTGGCCCTCGGTTTCGTCATTCTGCAGGATTTCCGAGGTGAACAGCGCGAATTTACCGCTTATTTGCAACAGTCCGTTCTCCATATTAATGACATAATAATCCAGCCAGAGAAAGTCTGCTCCGATGAGGCAAGGATGTGACAGCTGACGGAAAATCAACATGCTGTGCTCCTTCATGCAGCATTCCTCAATGGTTATTTTCACTTTGACTGTACCCAATATGCACAGTTCTTGGCCTCCAACTGTGATCAAGCGAAAAATAGCTCGGAGGAGTCAACTTTTCCGGATTCATGAAGTGCTGAATGCCGTGCAAATATTACGGTAGCCCCCGTATCAGTCAAATCATTGGTCAATTTCCGCTATTTTTGCATCTGTCGTTACGGCGGATGTTCTCTATTAACACTAGAGACCACTGTAACGCCGTTCCCTTCCACGGTGTCTTTCTTCTTCGGTTTTCGCTGTCTGAACTTGCTAGTAGTTCCTCTTCTACGTCGCCCTCTACATGTAGTGACTGGAGTTTTCTGATTCACCATGTAACTCTTAGTTTAAAGAAAACTGATTTGCAAAATGACCGCGGCCGCCGTAGTTATAACATCGCATACGTCAACGGTCTGAATGAGGATTCTGGTCTCCTTACAGTCTCCATTTCGGGTTCCTCATAAATCTGCCATTGCTCCCCCTCCGACAATGGAACCCCTGACCAAAATGGCAGACTGCAACAGGTGACAAAACGACTACACCGATTTTTCTAAGCTGACATCTCCAATCGCTGAGATTGCAACCTTCACACTATTGAAACGGTTTTATGGGGCTAGAACTCATACCTGTCACGGGTGAAGGCGCCGAAATGTTCACAATGTGAGACGCAGCAGCAGGTCCATGTCTCCGTCATGAAGCCCGGGTAATTCTTGATCGTGTTCCTCCTGAACAGAGGTACCCAATGCCATCACTAGAGTCTTCCAATGTTCCATAATAACGCGCGCTCTCTTTGAATAATAACGCAAACAACGGACAAGCTAGTCACGAACGAATTCGTCCTGAGTGATCTCCCATAGCAATGGAAAAACAGCACCAACTTTCAATCGAAAGTGCGCCTCGAAACTCTGTAGCACTTGTGACTCTCCCTCTTTAAATGAGAGTTCGGAACTCGGAATGGTTTCAATCATGGATGTCTGCGCAGCTCGGGTATTCTGCAAGCTCAGCCGAAGAGTGTCCTAGTCGCTCATGTCCTGTAGGCAGGCCTGACAGACCAAGTAGAGGGTAGAATTTGCAGCAGTTCGCCATCCAGACAGAACCGAAGATGTCCTGCTCTTCTGTTGGGCGCCACCTCTGACATGTAGGAGAAGACTTCGGCTCGGTGAAACTAACTAGCAGCTTCACTGGTAGACACGAGATGCGGTGGGGACATTTCAGAGCAACTTCAGGTTGGAGGGATATCACGCTTGTCACCGCTGTTATGTTCGTTTATTCAACATTAACATAGCAACTTCTACCGACCGCGAATGTACTCACTTACAATGAAAGCAGAGCTTCAGGCAAAACACCATCAATGTCCTCATCCATGGTGGTCGTTTCCCGATCCCGGCAATTAATGCATTGGTTCACAGTGCATCAAACCTGCTTTGCCACGCTGGTTCTTCCGGTTGGTGCGTTCAAAACTGCCCCCTGCATCTGCCAGGTCATCGTTCGCAAAATACAGAGGCGAGCGCCACCGCAAGGAGTGCCAACTCGAACGCAGCGTTATGGGCATAACAGCATGCGTCTGAACGTTGATCACGAAAGGAACATATTAGAAGAAAAGTCAAATTCACTGAATACACAGACATGAAAGCTCAGGAAATATTGCCGCTTCATATGAAACTTACCTCCCGTAGGCAATTAATAGGCCAACGCAAACTTTAGAAGTAGAGCGTGTTTCTGCTGGACCGTTTTGCGAGTCCTGTTATAAATGCATTAAAAAAAAGGAAATAGCTTCTTTTGAGACTGTTATAGTGGTATACCGTCTAGATATGTATACAGTGGTCAATAACATGGAACATACAATGCGCATACCCAATTCAATCACCATCAACGATCAGTGCATTTGCATGCACTCTGCCGAAGGAAAGACTGATAAATGTTACCTTGCATATGTTAATACGCACGTCTTAACTTACGTGTGCCGATGTTCTGAGATCTTTCAGTTACGAAGCTAAATCTTAGTCACATGAATAGGTCATACATGACTATCATTCACAGCACGTTTTTAGTATTAAAGTGAATGGTTAAACTATGAAAACTTTCATAGAACCACACCATTCCATATTATTGAATTAGATTTTGTCTCGTTTTGTTAATATCATTAACATTCCCTTAACATGACTGCAGGCTTTTGGAGATTCGTGGTCTCAGTTCATCCCACATTTCACACTGTCATATTATGAGTTGTTTACTAGATTGGCGAATTACAGACTCTTTATCGACAGCAAACGTCTTTTGAGTTTCCTGTTCTTACATCAAACCGGACTGAGCACCGAAAGGAGTCTGCACATGGTAGGCAAGGGATGAAGGAAATAAGTTGAATACCTGCTTTCCAAATGTGTCATGTAAAGCAATTTTTTCGTCATATGATTTCTCAAACTATAGGTGATACGAAGGCCTATTTCGATAGTCACCGCTGCAGGAATAACATGTACTTACCGAGGGTCTGCGAATTTTTCTAACGGCTTTTTTTTGTTTAGCACTGAAAGAAAGGCGAGTGAAAATTTCTTATCCCCTTTGCAGAAGGTTGCCAAGCTGATGGGAAACTAGTTTGATACCCGTAAATTGTTGAGCATGCGGTGCCCCATTATCTGCAATCAGTCAGTCAACTATGGTTGATTTTCAAGATAATGACCACACTGCTCCTCTGTGGTCACTACAGCTTGCCGTCTTGCTTCTGTTTCAGAAAGAATACCCCAAAGTGCTACAATACCACGGAACCGTGGCTGGTTTAAGGTACCCTAGTTTATAGAAGCAAGGGGACGATGCGCCTACGCCGTACTAATCCAGAGAACGAACAGGGGAAATAAAAATCTACTGTTCAGATTTAAGACGATCACATATTAACGGAATACATTCTAAAGGAGCACAGCAACATCATTGTTAGCACGTCTGAGAATGTCAAACAACAAATGACTCCTCCAAGATCAGATTTCACGGCGTGTTGCACCATCCTTTTGCTCCTAGTTGCCTGGAGGCGGGCATTTAAGCAAAACATGGTTGCATGGTATTTCAGCAGCGAAAGCATCAATA